TGTTGTGCATTCTGGTGGCACGTAGAAATGGCATGGTCACCTCCGGGATATTGCATATCACATGGATATTATTTGCACTATGTGGGCTTCCTAATTATTATATGTGGTGGAGACAAGTTAACAATTTTCAGGTCTTCTTTTACACTTTTAATTTCCAAAACTACCTACTCCTTGAAGTTTAGTGAAAGTTACGGTTCTGAACCTCTTAATTGGTAAGATACCTCAAATTGATCTAGAAGTAACAGCGTTCGAGACGAGGTGATTGGTGACAAACGCACACCAATGACATCTCAAAACAGCTAAAGCCGTGTCAGTTACCGCTGCCGGAAAAATGGCTGAGTGGCAAATTCATTCCAGAGACAAACCGAATGTCAGGATCATCCAAAAATTGGCCTCCAGGCGTTTTAGTAACTGGAAATTCGTCAGCTACACTGATGAAAAACTGCGCTACGAATTGTAGAGATTAAAATTAGTAAAATACAGAAAGAACGATACAAAAATCAGTAATCTTTTGACTAAAATCATTTAAGTTTAATTTATTATTTTTATGGTTTAGATTATGCGAAGCAGTGATAAAGCACGCTTTATCATTTATCAGCTATGGTATCCGTTTGTTATTATGCAAGTATTTTTGTTCTGCTTTGCCGATCGTCGCAATGTGCTATTAACCGATTTAAATAAGAAATTGGTATGTGCATTTCTAAGTCGAAACAATTCAATTCAAAGCATTCTCCACATCCCCCCACTCTCTTTTTTGGAAGTAATCTGAGTGGTAGCAAATGCCAACAGCAACCACGTCCTTGCAAAGCGTTTGATGGCTTTTTTTCGAATGATTGCTTAGAAGCAAACTAATGATAGTATGATTCCCTGACATGCACCTGTACCAATTTACCATCGAAACGAATGCGCGAATCGTAGAGGAACTGATTATATCACTGAAGGAAACAAACCTTATTCTGCAGCACGGTAGCAATGCTAGTGCTAATCCGCTCCAAATCCGTTATTTTCATGAATTTTGTAACGAAAAAATTTGTAAAATATAAAGAGTCAACGGTACAAGGATGTTTTGTTCCATCAAGTCGAGTAACATAAAAGTTAAAAGTTGAGTACTGTTCTGCAAATTATCTTTCTTAAGCCGCTATATGTGCATTTGCAAAAACAATTTACTTTACAATGGTATTTTGATCAGTTGTGAATCGCAGTCGGATTTCTCAGTACACAAATTTTCCTTGTTTTCTGACCAGTTGCCTAGTGGTCAATGTTTTCTTCATACCAACATTTGCCTCGTTTCCCAAAGAGATTAGCCAACTGATCGATTTCCCTGATAGAAGCATCTTGACAAGGCTTTAACCGTTTTGAGATGTAACTAATGTTTGACAATGTAAAAACAGCTTCTGATTTTAAGAGGAGAAATAGTTGGCAAGGGAAAATTTTTGCAGAATCGGTCACCCGAATTGGAGAGTTCGTTTTTGAATCGTCTGACACTTTGGTGGTTCACACCGATACCGTTGTTGGGATCAAGGAAAACTCTGGTGATCTCTGACTTGTATCAACTAAATGAAGGCAATGCTGCTGCTTACTTATCATCGAAATGGAATAATTTGTGGAAATCCGTCGAAGAAGGTCCTGTTTTTAATTTGTAACTTTTAATTAAAAATATTTTTTTAATTTTAGAAATATTTTCAAAGTTTAGTAATAACTTATAGCCGGTAGGTACCAGTGTGACCTTAAAGTGGCAATGTTCGAAACAGGGCGATTATGCTGGAGCACCAAACGGCTAAAAGCTTGCCAAGCTTTTGTCAGGGATCGTTGAGTGTTAATATGTTATCATTAATTGCATTAGCATTCGAAATTCCCTTAACACACATGCGTGATTGTATTTGTGGAGTTTGTTTTAGTTCTCGCGCATCATTACTTGATGCACTCCAAAGAACATAAAAACGGTACTACTTTTCAATTTCAGTTTTATACTCTTTAGATTATCATAAAAGAAGGCGAAATTATGAAAACGCACAACGAAATGTTTCACAGTCGAAGTCGAAGAAGTATGGTCTGTTTATTTTTTAGAACTATCGTCTTTTTTACACCACTGATTTCTGTTCTTTCCGGGTTTTGGACAATGAGTAATTGAGTAATCAAGGACAGTGAGTAATCAAGGAAAAAAAAACATAATTACTTAGGAACAGTGACGGAGGCTGTAAGATAAAGCCCGCAAGAGATGTCAAGCATACATCGAGCAGGAAGTGAGTACTGACCAGAAGCAGGAAGCCTCGGACCATGCGAAAGTTGCTGCAAACCGTAAATTAACAATTTAGTGACAAAAATTTCGACAACTTGACTAACATTACTGGGTGGTACTCACGTAGTGAAGCGAATGGTACCTGTGCATTAGTGAAAGTTGCTCATAATCCTCGAAGGGTGCGCATCAAATGCAAGCGATTGTTACTTACTGGTGATATACAATTAAGCTATGTTCGGTGCATCACAGCAGCAACTATAACATTGAGATTCCCGCACCGATTATCCATGTAGTCTTTATTGACACAGCAATGTCTATATAAAAAGTGAATTACAGAGAGCACTAGCCAAAAAAATCGCATTTTCTTTTAGGAAAAACGGTCCAAAACCTCCATCGATTGTATGGCGATTGTTTCTAATGTTTCGTTTTGAAGTTATATCGGCGGCATCAGTGAAAATACTGGCTGATGTACTGCAGTTTGCAAGCCCATTTTTCCTGAAGTAATGCTTTTTTGATAGTTTTGAAAAAAAAAAAATCATTTTTGCTCTTAATTGTCAAAGTCGCGACTTTTCCGCACTCTGCTAATGTAAACCATTTGGTATTCTAGGAGCAAGATATTTTAAAAGCTAAGTGAATACAAATAAAAATGTATCTGAAAATTACGGACAGGGAAAACGAATCGGTCACAGCCCTATTAGTCGATCCTTTAACCTTTTCCTCCCGCC